ATAGCACTTACATTGCATACAATGTACAAATGTAAGAGCCAAAGGTTGGTTTTATTATTTAGGGAGAGGGTAGTCTAGATCAGTGTCTCAAACTTGAGTGTGCATTACAGTCACCAGGAGGGCTTATTAAAACAGAAAATTTGGGGCCCCATTTCAAAAGTTCCCAATTCAGTAGATACGGGGTGAGATGGGGGAATTTGTGGTCTAACTAGTTTACAGGTGATTATGATGCTCCTGGTGTGGGTCACACTTGGACAACCACTTATCTGATTTGTATAGAGATGCTAGTGGCTTTTTAAGAAAACCTGCTTCAAAGCAAATACATCCTTGATCTCTTGGAGATAAATACCAAGTGGCGAAATTCATTATGCAACTCATCTTAACGCGAGGCTCACTGAATAATACAGAGTAATGTAAATGTACAAATCAGAGAAAGAACAGTATATGGACAGCTCTTAGCAGTCCCTGGGTGTGCTGGCAACCTCCCCACAAAAAAAAGGAAACAGCTTGGATGTGTAACTTGCCAACTTCCATACTGTCAATGCCCCCGCCACGGCCAATGACCGCCAGATGCCTGAATGTTTCACAGCTGACTCTCCCTGGCTGGTACCAGCCAGCTCCAGCACATCACTGGCTCTGAGCAAGGTCTTTTCTTGTCCTGTGTGTTTCTGAGAAAGCTCTGGCCCAGGTGGGGCTGGGGATGGGCAGGTGATTCTGGTAGCCAGTCCTTCGTCTGCAGAAGCTGTCAAACACCAGGCTTGATACTCTTCCTACCTAGCGTGAGATTTTCTAAGGTAGCTAAGTGACAGGATGTAATTATGCAGACAGCTCTATGTGGCCCAGGCAGATGCAAAATGGGACTTTGCAAATTCTCCTCCACCATATACCACCTCTACCTGTACCTCGTACAGTCAATTCTAACAATTATTCCAGGCCTTTTTTTCTAATCAGGCTCAAGAGACTTGACAGAGACCCCTCCTCTTCAAAGCCCTCTCTGGCCTCCCCTCCCTTTGAAAACTCCCCTCTCCCAAGGCTCATTTCCTCAGGGTGGGTGACAGGAATGACTTCAGGGAAACTCATATTTGGAGCTGTCAGGATGGCTTTAAGGGCACAGCACCTGAAGGCCTATAGACATTGAGTAG